CTGCAAACTCCTTCCGGTCCACTTCACTCTGCTGCTTATCTGTTGCACACTTCTACCAGACCCCTTTATTGTCTCTTTTAAAAATGAATTCCAAGGATGTGAATTTTACTGGCAAGGGTGGCATTTGTTTCCCATCTCTACTTATCCTAGAGAAGGGGATGGTTACTCAAGTTCCTGAACCATTGCAAGTACACCTATTGTGCTGTTATGAAGGAAGTCCCAGGACTTTTACCCAGAAATAATGAAAAAATCATGGTAAAGTTCTAAGGCAGGGTGGTGTATGGCTTGAAGCTGAAATTGCATGTGATATTTTCCCATGCATCTGTCTGGCCCTTCTAGATCACAGGGGTTGTGTGTTTGGAAGGTGCTACCAAAGGATGCTTGGTGAGTTGCTGCAGTGCATACTGTATACTATTAGCACTCCAGCCACTGTGCACTAATGGCAGGAAAATGTTAAAGATGGTTGGATGGGATGCCAATCAATTAAGTTGCTTTGTTCTGGATTGTGTCAATTTATTTGCAAGTTGCTTGAAGTGCACTGATCCAGACAAGAGGAGAATATTCAATCAAACTTAAATCGTGCCTTGTAGGTGGTACAGAGAGACCTTGGGGAGTCAGGAGATGAGTTACCTGTCAAATTATCCCCAGTCTTTGACGCAGTCTTGCAGCCACAGCATGTATATAGCTGAACCAATTAAGTTGGAAAAGTCCCACCACTGTCTATTGCTGCTCACTGGAGCGAAATGTTTCATTACTTGCAGTCCAACAGGTTCAAGAACAGCTTCTTCTCTGATGTTATTAGGCTGCTGAATGGACCTCTCAAATTTCAAATTTACTGCTAATCTTGCTTTTGTACACCTCCTGTGCAACTGTAACTTTGTATGCCTCGCTCTGTTCACCCTATGGTCTGTATGTCCTTGTATATTATGATCTGCCTGTCCTGCATGCAAAACAAAACTTTTCACTGCATTTTGGTACATGTGACAACAATAAATCAAATCAAAATCAAATCCCATCTATTTCATTCTCTAAACCACTGAGCTACATCTTTGTCACTCACTAGTTTATGTAAGTCTAGAGCTGATCTGATGACACTTTATTGAAAGATTCTGCATGCAACCCCAATTTAGATACATTCACTTCGATTTAGCTAAATCCAGTGTATCAAAACTTTGTGCTAGCTCAGTAAGCTGCATATGCAGTCATTTAATTTTTTACAATTTGGACTAATGTAACCCTAACCCAGATTAACACCCAAATTATTCCAAATCTTTATCTTCTAAAGAGAATCACTGTAAAATCCACCTGTAACTGAACAACCATAAATGATTGAAACACAGGCTTCTGCCCATTGTGCTTGTGCTGGTTATAATTAAATCAATCTAAAATTATCTCATATTTTTCTCATAGCTTTGCACTTTTTGGCATTCATTAGGGATCACTGCTGAGACGAGAGGAAGTTAATGGCTGCAACTTTCTAAAATGTAGCTGAATATAAAAGCTTAGGGCTCATTCTTATGGTTTTCTTTCTGGCTAAGTCTGGGTCAGGTTTTCTGGAGAGTTTCTTGCCATGAGGCTAATTGGTATTCTCACCAATATCTTACCAAACCTGTCTCATCAATTACATTTGGATATCTGCTGAAAGACTGGTGTCCCTCGTACATGCATCATCTTTAAAACACAACTCTGAACCCAGATAAGCACTACTGTTCCGAGGTTGCCCAGCTTGATCAGGTAAGTATGCACAAGATATCACAGCAGGGGAAGATGGCATTAAATTTGTCCGACAGGGACCTTGAGGTTCTGGCAGATGGGTGGTGCAGCAATGAGGTTCTTCTTGGACGACAATGAGAGGAGGCTACACCATTTGAGCCTAGAAGCTTGGTCGGAGATTGCCACCAGGGTCAGCGTTATTCTAGAGTAAAGAGGAATGCCAGCAAAAAAAAACTCATCTACAGTAAGTGCCATGCTCTTTTCTCTGCTACCCCTCAAACTGAATCTATCACTGCCACTGCACATACCTCCTACCAAGATTTATGCCTCACCACTCTGATTGTCATTTGCAACCCATTCCCTCACTCAGCAGCCTTAGCCTCCCACACCACCAACCCTGCATGCCCTTTGTACTGCCTCCTCAGTTCATTGGTACATCTCATCACCTTTTACTTATATGCGCCAGTGCTAACAGGCATGCATCCACTGTCATGTCACTCTTTTCTCCCTTTTTCTCTTTATCACAGGACAGCCCATAACAGGACACACACAGCCCATATAGGTAGGGTGAACGGTGCCCAACATTTATATCCTCAACTCCTATAAGGAGAGAATCCTGTCCCTCACACAAAAATACGAGGACTGTTCCTGTGGGGGACATAAAAACATCCATGTCCCGTCAAAAAGTAAGCATCACTCTTCCATTAACCCCGCTATTAATCTCAATCATGGTACACCACTGGACATGATACCTTCTCTCTCTTCGTATTTCAAGTTCTGTAAGCCTACCCATGATGTCTGTGGAGAAGCAGTCAGTTGTGGAATAACTGCCCTCCTGGACATCTGAAGCTGACAGTATCAAAAGATTCAGAGGAAGCATTGGCAAGATATCTCCTGTACTCCTCACCAGCCTGGACACTGACATTTCAGTGAGAACTGTAGACGTAGAGTATGAGGGGACACAATCTGGTGAGCACTTCACAGTGACAGCTCCACAGTTGACTGATGAAGAAATGGCTCAGGCAGCTGGCAGTCAACTGCCAGAGATCAGTCACCAGCCCAGGCAGTAGATGACACTGTGGTGCCAGGCATCAGGGACATGATCAAAATGCATATGGCATCTAACCATAGCCTTATACAGACTCAGAAATACATTTCTGTTCTTGTATTCTAGCCCCCTTGAAATGGATGCTAACATTGCATTTGCCTTTCTAACTGTTAACAGAACCTGCATGTTAACCTTAAAAGAATTCTGAACTAGGTCTCCCAAGACCCTTTGTGCTTCAGATTTACAAAGCCTTTTCCCATTTAGAAAATCGCCTATGCCTCTATTCTTCTTACCAAAGTGCATAAACTCACACTTTTCCACATTGTATTCCATTTGCCACTTCTTTGCCCATGCTGCTAGTGTATCCATGTCCTTCTGCAGCATCCCCGCTTCCTCAACACTACCTGTGCCTCCACCTATCCTTGTGTCATCTGCAAACTATCAGGAATGCACTCATGTCCAGATTGTTAATTTAATATGAATAGATGTGGTCCCAACATTGATCCCTGTGGAACTCATGTAGTTACCGGCTGTCATCCTGAAATAGACCTCTTCATCCCTATTCTCTGCTTTCTGCCAGTCAGCCAATCCTCTGTCCATGCCAGTACCTTTCTTCTAACACCATGTGCTCTTATTCAGCTGGGTCCTTTGCAGCACCTTGTTAACGACCTTCTGGAAATCCAAATTTTTCTCCTTTGTCTAACTGACTTGTTACCTCCCCAAATAATTCTAACAGATTTGTCAGATGTGACCTCCCCTTGACAAACCCCTACTGACTCAGCCCTATTTTACCAAGCACTTCTGTACAGAATGTGGTCACAGCCATTAGCTTACTATTGAACTGGGTGCCTGTCCCTGCACAAAAAGTGTCCCTGTTTGATGCTGGTGTGTGTCTGTGCTTCCAGAGAGCATTGTCAATGCGTAATAGAAGGGCTTGGATGGTCGTGATGTATTGGCTGATTCCGGATGCCAATGCTCGTTCCCTCCACTATCAGCATAGTAATGATGTATGGGTGTATTATTTCCAAAATGCACTGCAGCAGCAAGAATATGTGTCATTAACAGCGTCTTACAAATTTGTGTTTTCACCATCTACGATAAAGGCAACAAGGGGCACATGACTTGAAGTGCATCCCTGCTCCTCCATTGTTGGAGAGTCAAAATTTTTGAACTCCCTACTCACAACATAGTGGAAGCACCTTCACCACGAAGTCCACAGAAATCTGAGAATATGATTCTCTGCCACCTTCCCAAGGTCAATAAATGGTGGCCTTGCCAATGATATTCACATGCTATGAATGAAAAATATTAACATTAATTATGATGAAAATATCTATTCCTGGAGCTCTGATAATGAAAGTGGAGGGCTTATGCAATTGGAACCTGGACCTAGAGTAGTTAAAGAACAGCTACTGAGAGTTACACGACAATGTAAAATCTAGCACAGTAAGTTTAATGAAAATAACTATTATACATGTGGCATTGAGAAGATTATTTCTTACAACTTAAAGAAGAAAATTCAAATTTGAAGGAAGAAAATGTTGTTGTAGCTTGGTTCCTGTGTGTGTACTCTATCACAAACTAGAAAATGAAAATGTCACCAGAAAGTATCAGTAATTACGAGAAACTTTAGATCTTGGAGAAAATTGATTTAAGTTTTATCAGTTATATCCATATACAGGGTACCTATGGCTGCAAATTACAGTTTAAAATATTCAATACTGTCAAAAGTCTGATCCCTGGTGTTTTAATCGATCAGAAGGCTGAACTGGAGGAAGTGAAAGATTAAGATTTGAAATAAAATCTGAAAAAAAAATACAACATCAGGTTAAGAGGAAGTTCAAAAGAACAGAAAGGCCATTGAAAAGTGCAGCTGTCTCCAGTAAATTGCAGGAAACGAGAGAGCAATTATATTGTTGCCAAAATTTCAGTCAGCTCCAGAATTTATCAATTATTCAAATAGTCAATATACGCTCAATATAAACTCTCTAGAGCTTGACAATGAAAAAAATTGGAACAATACACCGCAAGTTAAACCTACCTTCAACCAGAAAAAATTCGGAATTGTTTTTTCAAAGAATGCTCGTGTGGCTTTTGTGCAAACCATCCTGAGCAGAATTGGTTACAGTTTTGGCAGCAGTTCTTGGAAAGCCATTTACAAATTGTTGCATTGAAACTACAAAATGACAGTCCCTGTTCTGTTAAGACAAGTCTCTGCCTTTTCATCATTATTACTCACCGGATTATCATACATTTGTACAATTAGCTGCTTTACGCCATAAAGTGTAGGATGAGCCCAAGCAGAGGGATCCTGCCAGTGTCGATTTAGATCAAACCCCATTAAAGAGCACCTAAAGAAAGAGTAAAGCATGATTTATCAAAGGAGAGCTTGTACATTTATGGCACTTTCGTTTGAGGTTTTTAAATAATACAGTAACACTAAGTATTGGGTAGATATGTGCAATATCATCATAAATTACATAAAATTAGTTGTTTAAATTCATTTTTTAAAAAATGTAATATTCATTTTATCAGACCTTCTTAAACACTAGACCTTGAAATTCTTGAACTCTGTTTTCAGAGTTTGGAGACTGTGATTCACAGCCTGCTCCTTACCTATTCAGATGAAAATAAGCAGCACACTAACTTGGTGCATCAATCTACATAATTATAGCATCTGGCCAAAACAGCCCATGCTGTTTTCTTCTTTTTAATGCAACAGGCTATCTTTGCATCAATAGGAATACAAATAACATTCCTCAGAAACAGCCTGTTGCAACCAGCCTATTCTTCACTGACCCTCTTAAACGGAAATTTTATGTGAGAATATTGATGCAATCCAAATTATAGTAAAGTCAACACTATAGCAGAGAGAAAGCCCTAAGGTGATAGATGCTGGAGACATTAGTAATAAAGGGGACATGGAGATGAGGAGAGATGGAATGGTTTCGTTAAGAAATCAGGAAATCAAGAGGCCAACTGTTGAAGGCTGGAGGTCTTGGCAGCAGTGTCATAAGAAGTCTAGTGTCCTTGCAGGTCTCAATGTCTGTGAATGTATTCTCACAAGACGTTTCCTACTCACCACAACATCCAGCTCATGTGCTGCTCAATAAACTACATCTCCATTACCCATCCAGCATCAGTTCCTGGCACCCAAGACTCATACCTAATATCTAGATGCACTGCTTCATCCAACCAATGATGCTAGTCTCACACTCACTTCTTGCTGTGTCCAAGTATCTCCAGCTATTCAGGTAAAGAGTACATATGACCCAAATATGTTGCAATGATACAGCTGACAATCTGCACTCTCTCTCATAATTCAAACAAGATGAGAAAGAAACAAAAATGAACTGATGGGGTACTACAATGCCCGCATCTCTTGAACCATATAGAGCAGATGATTGCTTGCATCACGGTGACAGCTGCAAGAGCCTGAAGCATCCAGTTTCATTGAGAACATTCAGAATATGTGGTATGTTCTTGCATTATTCCATTTTTCAGTTCCCAGGGCACCACTGCTCTTTGGTAAATTGAGCAAGCTGCTGATTGAATGCTCTTCAATCCATCCTTATAAATGAAGTTCCTCATCTCTGAAACCATTCTTATAAACGACTTCTGCACTCTTTCCACTGCATTCACATCTTTCCTGTGTGGCACCCAGAGCTGTACACAATGTTCCAGCTGAAGTCTAATAAATGTTGTATGTAAGTTCAACATCAACTCCTTGCTGGTGTAATCTATGCTTTATTAATAAAGCCAAGGATACTGTACGCTTTTCTTATTGCTCTGGCTACCTGTCCTGCCACTTCCAAATATCTGTATAAATATAAACCAGGTCGCTCTTCTCCTGCAATCCCCCTTAGAACTGTCCCCCCTGTTTTATATTATTGTGCAATGTACTTCCTAAAAGATACATCACACTACTCAGCATTGAAACTCATCTGCTACCTATCTGGCCAATCCACCAACTTGTCTTTCCTTCCTGACTTGTACACTGTTCCTCCTCTCTGTTTCTATATCTTCCAAATTTTGCATCATCTGCAAACCGTACACCAAGATCTCGATCATTAACATGAATATCAGGAAAAGCAACGGTCCCAATACCAACCACTGGGGATCTTTGCTAAAAAATCTTCCTCCAGCCTGAAAAATATCCATTGACCACTACTGTCTATTTTTTATCACGCTGCAAATTTTGTATCCATGTTGCTGCTGATCCTTTTATTCCATGACTTTTGGAATTTAGAAGAATAAGATCCGATCTTACTGAAACATATAAGATCCTGAGGAGAACTGACATAATGGATGTTCCTCTGTGGGAGAGACTAAAAATAAGGAACATAGTTTAACATTCAGGGTCTCCTATTTTGAGATTTGTTTGTTTTGGAAGGTTGTTAGTCTCTGAAATTCTCTTCCCCAGGGAGCAGCAGAGGAAAGGTCATTGAATATTTTCAAGGCTGCGTTTAATAAGTTCATAATTGATAAAGGCATCAAAGTAGGTAGGAAATAGAATTGAGACGATAAGCAAATTGGCCACGGTCTTATCAAATGGCAGGACAGGGCTCAGTGACCAAATAGCCTATTCCTGCTCTTAATTCCCAGGTACATATGTTCCAGAAAGGTTTCTGTCACTGTCAAAGCGTATCGAGGAAATAACCACCAATTGGCTACTGTCAGCATGGCTGAAAATAGGAAGAAAGGAAGCTGCAGAGTCACACACAGTCCAGCATTCTGATCTCCAGCAGATTACTAGGATTTCTGACATGGGCTCTGTGGAATGTCCTTGGCACACCAATTTCACAGAATGACAACTTCACATTCCCTTCATCATTGCCTTTCCGCCAGTGCTCTTGCATTTTCCCAGCAGCTCATCAGCCCAGACTGTTACCATCTAAGCTGAGGTGGTGCCATCCCAATCAAGGTATCCTAGAGCTGCTTGATCTTGCAAGGTCAACTACAGTCTTCTCACTGAAAATCAACAGCATTAGCGATGGCCAACTGAGATATATTAGAGATGTCATCTGCTTCTGCTTGGAAGCATCTCACAAAAAGAAATTCAGGAACACAGTCACCAGTGCAGCCTCTGGCAAAAACCTGCAAACTATCAAGCATTTCCACAAACTCAGGCAGAAACATCAGAAATTAGTCAGTAATGATTGATGATTCCTTGAAATAGTATTAATGTGGAGTCCTTCCTGCTGCAGTGCATATTTAAGTAAGCATATCAGCTAGAGTGGTGAGGACAAAAATTGTAGTGTTTACATCAAATCAGCAGTATATAATCTACTATTCTGTTTATTTCTGCTGCATGCTCTTAGGGCCAAAAACTACTGACCTTACTAAAATAGTATTTGATGGTGCTGACCCAGAAGTGTGTGTATCCACAGTATTGATGTCATTTTGGAGCCAAAGTGGCACCTGTAGTCCTGAAACTTACAGACAAAATATCAAAGCTTAGGCAGAATTTAAAAGTAGCAGCTGTAATGTCAAGTGGATACATAGCCCATTTTGCTGCCAGAGCAGCAAATGCAGAAAATCTGCCCTGTAAAGTCATGCACAAATTGCTACCACTGTTCTTTAGTCTTCATTACACAGTCAAAATTTAATATACAATAATCACTAGAGCCCATGAGTTCATCTATTTCTACATTTTTAATCATTTTGGTTGACTGCTATATGTGACTCCATAAATTTTTCATCTTCCCTTTCCCTGATCCATCCACTTCACTAATAAGATATTTAAATCCTTCATGATCATCACATTGTAATTCCTTGCATCTACTCCTGCTTGTCTGAACAGGTTATATCTACCTGTTCACCTTGAGCTATTGATCGATAACAGTCATGAGTAATTACTTTGTTGCTCTTATCGACATTAATTTCTACCAAATTACTTCTGCTATCTGTTTTTTTAAACATTCTTTTGACAGATGTTATGTTGTGCCTTACCAATCATGCTCACACCTCACCTAATTTATTAGACTGATGTACAGAAAACATTTGGAATCCTTTAAGTTTAGTCTTTTAACCATCTTTGACCAGCTGCTGTATTATAGTAATGCAGTTAAAGTCCATAATGTCTCTGTATTTGTTTTGATCATAAATGTCTGCACTAATATAAAAGCTTGGAAGTCTTATTTCAACAGTTACTCACTTTCCATTTTCATCCTATTTTGTGTTTTTGTGTATGTGCAGAATGACATCGACCTTACACTGGTACCATGAGACACTCATGTTTCAAATAAGTAGGTGATACTATCATTAACATAGCAGAGAAAGGAATTTCAGACATGTTGATACCAATATTAACATAACAGAGAGCAATTTCAAACAGGCATTTTATTTGTGTAAGTCTTATTATTTCAATATGCAACAGAATGTTGATAGTTGATTCAGCAATGGTAATGCCATTGGATGTCACGGGACAGTGGTTAGGTTGTCTTTTGTTGGAGAAGGTCATTGCCTGACATTTGTGTGTTGTGAATATTACTTGTCACTTGTAAGCCCAAATGTGGATATTGTTCAGGTCTTGCTGTATTTAGAGATGGACTGTATCAGGGTTTGAGGAATTGTGAATGGTAATGAATATAGCGCAATCATTGGTGAACATATCCATTTCTCATTTTATAAAGGTGGGAAGCAGCTGAAAATGATTCAGCCTATGGCATTACCCTAAGGAACTCCTGCACGGCTGTCCTAAAACTGAGATAATTGATCTTGGACAACAACAACCATCTTGCCTTGTATCAGATATGACTCCAACCAGTGAAGAGAATACCCCCGATTCTCATTGACTCCATAGTCAATAAACGTGGAGCTGGACAAACGCAGCAGGTCAGACAGCATCAGAGAAGCAGGAAAGTCAACATTTTGGGCCAAAACCGTTGGTCAGTACTGGGGAGGGGGAGGGGATCCCAGAAATAAATGGGGGGTTGGGGCTGTGGAAAGGTAGGTGGGATTGTAATAGGTGGATGCAGGTAAAGGATTATAGTGATTGATCAGTGGGAAGGGTGGAGTGGATACGTGAGTAGGAAGATGGGCAGGTTAGGACAATTCAGGGAGGTGGAACATGACATAAGGCTGGGGGTGGAGAGATTTTGAAGTTGGTGAAGTCAATATTCAAGCCCTTGGGCTGTAAGCTCCCGAGGCGAAATATCAGGTGTTGTTCCTCCAGTTTACGTTTGGCCTCACTCTGACAGTGGACGAGGCTAAGGATGGACACGTCACCAGGGAAGTGGGAGGGGAATTAAAATGGATGGTACCTGGAAGGTTGAGTTGGTTAATGCATGAAGAACACAGACCGTCTGTGAACCAGTCCCCAAGTCTGTGATACACAAGAGACCACATC